TCATATAATAAATCAAACACAGTGGCACCCTGTCCATCTCTTGCTATTTTTGGAAAACGCCCCTTATATACACTTACTTCTATATATCACATGAATAACCAATCAGAAGCTCAGAATATCCCCCTAGTGGCTTTTTCAGCCATTTTAACAGGCTTGGCCATCATTTCTTTCTTTTAAACCAATATTTCAAGGAGGTAGGGTGTGTCTTTGGTCTGATCAAAATTTCATATTTTATTAATCTAAAATACATCTTAGTTACTAAGCTTGATAAATTATAGTGGAATTCTATGGTAATAATGTAGTAATTTATGATTTTTTAGTTATTCAAATATATATATAAAACCTAAACAAAATTATTTGTTTCATATCCTCCATGTGCAAAATTTTTAAAGATTAAGCAACCTACGTCAAGCAGTAACCGAGTACAAAGGTTGTAACTAGAAGAGATAATTGTTTGCTTCACTTCTTTATCTACTGTTCTATGTTTTAATAAAAATAAGTTTAAGAACTTATTTCTAAATAACAATAATTTATATACATATATAATGTATAATAATTGAAATGTGACTGTACTTTACAAAATACTAGTCTACTAAAACACATCCAAGATAACTTACTTAGTACATAAAGGTCAGTTTTATGTCATTAGATATGGTAACATATGTGCACATGAGTCACGTCATTGTAATTTCTGTATTGTTAGCCAAGCAAGGCTGAAAGGTCAATATATTATAAAAATTATAAATATATATAAATGTATAATATTATGAGATTTAAGCTATTTAGTCTAAACATTTATGTTTTCATGTTATAATTTGTGTTCATTCTATAATGAAAGAGGCATAATATAGATTTATTTCCTAATTTTTATGGTGGTTATGAGATCGATCAAATCTATTGAACCCATACAGAGATTCATTACTTAAAATATAAAGTTTTTTCTTAAGAAACGTTTGATAACTATCTGGACATTATAAAGACTTTGCAGGTGAAATTTGAAAATTTTCTGATGCATAAAAGTATTTCTAATCTTAAAATAAAAATTACTTTGCATGTTAGATAGGCAACATGCAAAAAGAAAAAAAGGCATGATAAAAATACTCAAACCTTAAGACTTAATTAAAAGATTTGATATTCTGCATATGAAAGCATTGTAATGTTTACTGGTAAACTGCCAAATTTTTTTAACATTCACTTACTAATTTAAAAGTTATAGCATGAAAACTATAACAAGCACAAAATGGTTACGAGTTCGGCCACAGGGACCGAGCCTGTGCTGAAAGAGTTAAGTGTGATACATGCACTCCAGTGGCTTGCAGAAGCTAGATTCTGAGGTTTCTAAGGGCTAAAGTTATAATTTTCCTATACTGAAATTTTTTTCCAAATAGGTACTTACCTCCTCTCACATAAATAACTATTCTTGTTCAGTACTACCTCTATGTGCAAAATTTTCTTTTGCGCATGTCACAAGCCTTGAAGGTCCCATTCATTTGGAATTAACTGACTGCTATGTGTCTCGTATGAAAATCATCATGCGACAACCCTCCACCAATAACAGTGCAACATACTCTCTTCACGCATGTGACTCCCTCTATTCAATTTTATCGACCTATCACTTCGAGTTTTAGGCAAAAAATGGAAGCAACAGTTTTCAGTGGAGAGGAAGGATGGGAAGTGTGAGAGGATGTAAATTCCTATCGGAAATATACTTTCAGTAGAAGAAAATTATAACTTCCAATACAGCACATTACCTTCTCTCACATAAATAGTTAGAATCCCACATTGAATAGGTGGAGGGACCGATGAGAGGGAAAGAAAGAAACATCCTTTGAAGGCATCTGAAGGACACTCCCCAAGAGAAGCTTTTCAAAATTGAAGATCTGATGTGGGAGACTGCACCACTTCTGAACCAGTTATACTCTTTCCCTATCATGGAAAGATGTCGCATATATGGACTGGAAACTGGAGGAGCACATCCAAGCTGGAGAGAACTATGGTAGGATAGGGATCTGAACCATATGACATTTAAGAAACTCAATGCCAGGGAAACATAAAAGTCAGTATGATTAAAAGAATGTGCCCCTAGGTATAGTGGCTAGGGCACGATGGACTATACATGGAAAGTGAACTACATCCAAAACCCATGTTGCTGGGAACCAACATCCACGAGGGGGGTAGAATGAGGATCATACCATTGGTAAGTCAACTACAATCCAAAACTTTGCCATTGGGTACCAACATCCATGTGGTGGTAGGAAAGAGGATCATAATGCCGGCAGGTTGACTACAATCCAAAACCCACACCACCGGGAACCAACATCTATGTAGTTGTAGGAAAGAGGATCATAGTGCCGGCAGGTTGACTACAATCCAAAACCCACACCACCGGGAACCAACATCCATGTGGTGGTAGGAAAAAAGGATTATACTGATGGCAAGTCAACTACAATCCAAAACCCAGCCATCTGGTGAGGGTACGAAAGAGAATCATACCCTCTTCACCTCAAGTTCATAAGACCAAAGGGAATCTCATACCCCACGACCCATGAATGGGCTACATGATAGTGTGAGAAATTGACTGATCGATCCGGGAATCTGACACAACTGGCATCTAAAAGACGTCTGCTTAATGTAAACCATCTCACTCAAAATTTTAAATTGACAGGAACCACACCAAGCATAGTAACATCCTCAGAATAATAAGAACATCAAGAACCATAGTAATCTGCATGGAAGGGGAAGAACCATAGTAATCTGCAAGTACTTCCATCGTGACCCACAACAAGGACGGAGTAACAAAAGTATAAATGAGTGAGGGAATAGAGACAAATGTAGTACATGTGTGAGGACTTATGTTTGTCTAAATCCAAAACCCAGCCACTGGGAACTGACATCCACATGAGGGTAAGATGAGGGATCCCAATCAAAGTGGAAGGTTGTTGCATGATGATTTGCAAGCGAGACATATGGCAATAAGTGGGAGATTCAAGGCTCATGGCATGCACACAAAAAAAGTGTATAGAGAGCAGCACCGAACGAGAATAGCTATTTATGTGAGAGGAGGTAACGTACTGTATCGGAATTTCATAGATATTTGTCATTAGTTGCATCTGTAGCCCTTCTGAGATCCTGGCTTGGCCTCCTGGTGTATTCTCTTATGGCCTGGTATTTGTGCCATAATCTTTTGACCACAGATTGTGATACCCCCCATGACCTTTGGCACCTCAGTCTGGGTGTGGTCCTCCTGAAGCAGTGTGACATTTCTGCAAACTTCAGTTTCACTTAATTGGTTTCTAATAGCTTGCACACTCTTTGCAAAAACTAATACTAGCAAAAACATCCATAAATTAAGCACTATCTCAACAGTAAACATCTTTCCTAATCAGTTAAAACTAACTTTTTGCTTTGCAGAATTTGGATTCTTTCTCATAAAGTCCTATTACATAAAGAATCACTGGTGAATAAACTTGAAAACCCTAGTTAGGATTAGTATAATCCTCTAGAGTAAGCATTCTAAATTTGAAGAAAATTAATAATTTAAAAATTTTAACAAACCTCATTATCCTTTAGTTTTTTGTGAATAATGTAGCTGATGTAATTCATTAAAAAACACTTAATTCTATTGGTGTTTTGTTCTGGTAAGTTTAATATAGCATATAGTAAAATTTGCTTATATTACTATCTTATAAATATGGCAAAACAAATCACAATTAAGTTAGAAGTTGAATTAATCAGATAATATATATATCATTAGAAATTTTAATAATTTCATTAAAAAAAAAAAGTTATTGAAGGCTAGCCAAACCAATCACAAAAACATATGAAATGAAATAAAAGCATCACTAGATAATATGGGAAAATATACAGATAAGGAGTTCACATACAAAGAAAATTGACTAATTTAAGCATACCTTAACCAACAATTTTAGCCTAAAAATAAAACCAAAATTAGAAGAAACAACAACAAAAAAAAAACATAAAAAAGTGGTACATAATTTTTTATGATCTGTTAAAGATAAACAGAACAATTGAAATGTTTGAATATTTATATGATAAATTTATGACAGATTTATAAAGACTGTGAATGTTAAACTGATTTTTGAGCCGAAAATTAAAATCATATAGTATATAAAGTTATATATAATACAGACAATAGAGCGAGAAGGGTATTGTTATTGTGAAAATGAGTCCATATAAGTGTCAAATATAGCTCTGTATACAAACTCCATAGAACTCGTGATACAGCACCAAGAGGCTGTGGGATGCCAAACACTTTGGCTTTGAGTATTTCATACAAAAGATATATTTAAAAAGGGAAATTAAGCAGCTACCTCTAACTAACTCCCATTTAGTATTATCTTAAGCTAAAAAGCGAATACAATAATAATAAAAAACTGCTAATTGTCAAATTAGTAATTTAACCATCAACCGGTAGAATGAGGTTAGACTGACTCATGTTGATTTTTCAAGTTGATATTCCAATGCAGCTAGTGCTGCTCTCTACCTGTTATTTTCTGTACTCTATTCTCAATCAGTTGTTGAGTGTTGAGCAGAGTAGACATGCTGTTGAAGTTCTAGTTTTTACTGTTATAATCATTTATTTGTCATTTGTAGGTCATTCTGACCCTACTAGTTGAAGGCTAAAAAAAATTTATCTGAAATATAATTGTTTCTATAAATAAGCAAGAACTAAAAGTAAAGCATAAACTTTTCAAAATCAGTAATATGTTATGACTGTAATTAGCTATGTCATTAAGTTCTTGTGATAACCATCATTCATTACTGATAAAAAAAAAAGAAATGACAAAATAACTTAACTTAAAGTATTTTTCACACATTTGTGTCTCTTTATGGTTTCTTCCTAAATAGAAGGTTCATGGTGAAAATAACAATTTTCTTCGTGGCTTCATTCTTGACTAAACTACATGGATTGTCTCGTAAGGCACAAATAAATCTTAATTTGACAGATCTAAATAATTATACATAACCTTGAGTTACTTAATGTCACTTTTGAAGAGTTTGGGCTTTCTACCTCAACCATTTCTATTATTAACTGTATTAGTTTCATGTAGCTTCTTTAGAATTTCTGTATGTCTTCTACTGAAACATGAAATTTCCCTTTAATCTGTTGCATGGAATAGCCTTCACCAGTTAAAACTATGATTTCTACATGTGGCATTTCTGCCCTAGGAGCCATAAATGTATACACCACAGTACTACTGAGAATTTTTCTGAGCATTATGATGGTGTGGGACTGTTTGATTTGATGGTTGAATGTTAATCTCAGAGTAAATTATCAACATAGACTGAATCTGGTGCAGTTCATTTTCATACAAGAGTATGGATTAGTCACATAACATTTGCATTTTATATCAATGTTTCTTCACAGTTTCCATAATTATTTCCAATATTGCTTGTATATTGGATTCTAATGACAAAGATTAGAAAAAATAAAAATATGATACGAATACAAAACGTATCCAACAAAGAAGGCAGGTAAGAACAGGTAAAGTATGTACTGTATAAACAGACAAATATCATTGAAAATAAAAATGTAAATGTAGTCAATACAATGGAGGAAGAAGCAAAAAAATCAGATTTTCTGTTTTATTTTGGAGATTAGCCTACTTTAAAGACTAGCAAATTTACAGGCCTTGTCAATAATTTACTTAGAATATGCAATAGTACAAATAAATAAAACACCATAACTTTACTATTGAATACAGTTTGCCTATCCTACAGATTTTTAAGATTTAAAAAATCTCGTACATTTATTGGGTTTATTAAAATTATAGTTTGGGATTAATGAAAATTTTATAGACAATACATGGACAAATCCTGTCTAACTATATGTTTTATAGCACATATTACCAAACAATTATTCTTTTTTTTGGATGTGAATTTATTAAGAGACAAACATCAGATGTTAAAACTTAGTGGTCAAAATAAAATTAACAGAATATAATATTTCACTATAAAAATCACAATTAAAAGTAAAATTAAATGTAAAATTAAAATAGTGTTTACCATTTCAATTCTATTTTAAAGCAAGAAATATTCCACATCATAGAAATTGCACAGGGATAGTCCAAAGAAAGATAATACTGCATGGTATCAGTAAATTAATCTTAAAACAATAATAAGTGAATGCTATTTGTATTATACCACATTACATACTATTAAGTCTGTTTGGTTTAAAATTACAGATTAATTAAAAACCTTTTCTTTCTATTTCCAAATGTGATTAGTGGTTTGATATTATTTCAGTAATCGTAGTTTATGATTGATTTTGTAAGTTTTAGGAACATGTGGAAATACACATATTCTTACCTAAAGTTTTATTATATATAAATAATCAGGTATTTAACTTCACCATCTCAAGCCATCATAACACCTCAGCTGGAACATGAACACAAACATCCTGGGCAGGCCAATGGCAGGAATCACCTTGCTGATGTCTTAACACCATAACCTGTGTGTTGTCAAAAAGAAATCTTGTGAATTATATAATAAAGCATATTCCTTACTCGATATTTTATATTTTAAAATAAGACTAGACCTTTACTTAAGCTTTAAAAGAAACAACTCTGTAATAAAGCTGAATGAATGGTATAAATATTTAACTACAGTAATATGGTAGTATAATAAACAAAGTACTATCGTGTCCAGAGCACAAGAAATACACTCGCCCATTTGCCAATGACAAATTATGTTTTACTTTGATGCATTCATATTAAATTGAAGATTTAATAGAACTATTTGTATTTATAAAAAGTTGGCAGCTTGCTTCTTCTCACTGGCAATATAAGGAGCTTAACACAAGAATACTGTGTAGGTCCATGAAAATACTATAGGTGAAACAAAATATATGTACTTTCTGTTGTTAAGTAATGTAACTGGAAGCATGCTGTCTCCCTATCAACATTTTTCCCACCAAACCATAGCTTTGCAAGAAATAAGCCCAAGTTGCTTAGCACTTAAAAAAACTAAATGATATGGCAAAAAAATACAACATTAAAATTAAATTCACTATATAATTTTTTCATAAGTAAAATCTTTAACTTTTTGTTTCTAAATCTAGTTCTGTAACCGTTACTTTTATCTTCAGAATTACATGGCATAATTTTCAAAATTAACTATACATAGTTTCCTAAATAAAAGTCCCCTTCTTAAACTTACATCATCAAAAAATAAGTTTAAAGTTCTGTAATAACCACTACACTGCCAAGTTTCGTTGTGGGTCCCTGATTCAAAAGTGGCAAGTCTTTTAACCGGACTTCTCGAGTTCTTAAGGAAGGAAAAAAAAAATGTTATAGCATCCTTTCTTACAAACAGAATGCTTTTAATCTAGAGAATTATATAATGATCATGAATACACATAAGTTTAGTCTAGGAACATATAACAAAATGTTTATAAATTCACAACACATTTACTGAACAGACTCCTTGTTACACCAAAGATGTTACAGGAAGAAATATCTGTAAAATTAGGGAAATGACACAAAAAAGAAAGTGAAATGCTTTTAGTGAATATTTGCATACTAAGTAGACTTACAAAAACACTTAATGTTATAGCTCAGAATATAAAATAAGAATTATATTTTGTTACTATTCATGAATTGTGCAAAAAGGCCAAGCAAATTCAGCATTAACATTATTTGAAATACTAACAAATGGATAGTAAGGAACTGCAAAGTTTTTTAATGAAGATACTGGTGTAGCCAATGTACACCAGCATCTACAACTCCAGGAATTCAATAAGACATAATGAAACACAACCACTCTAAAGTTGCTAATAGTAAGGCATTTCTTTAATCACTCAAACCACCCAGGTATCTTACACAGGGTTTTCTATAATGATGTATCCAGACCAAAATTCATCCTTATTAACTAAAGAAGTGAAAACTAAGACTTGCTGAATTTATAACATGTTAGATAAGTTGCTTAACTCTATGAAGCCAGTGTGTTTCGATTTGAAGCATCTGTAATATGGTTTGTTTTATTGCACTGTGATAATACTAGTGGATGTAACAGTTTGAGGTTTCAGAATTATCTTCTATAGATTATGTAGCTACTGTAAATAAAATATCTTATTTTCATGTGTGATACTTATATGAATTTGCAGCTCTGAAATTTTTGAAAAGATTTCATTATATGTTTTTTAAAGAAATTATTAAAAATGCTTAGGTTTGTTGTAGATTTTAAATACAGACTTTTATGTCCTCATACATTATTTGAAAACTGTAGACTTTAACTGTGCTATAACTAAAGAAATAATGCAAACAGTTACACTGTGCTTATGATCACTGGCATACAATAAAAATAACTTTTCTACTATACCCAAATTATAAGCAAGCCAACTCTGTTTTTAAATTGTTAATCAGAAGGTTTCATTTAATACATGTAACAAGTTTTAAATCTAATTTTATAATTCATTTATATATATTTTTTTACAATTATTTTCAGTGATTTTCTTTGCCCATTCAAGGAGTTATGTAGGCTGATATGGAATAAGGCAAACTAGGCCCAAAACAGCAGCTTTGTTGGCATAATGGATCTTGATATGGTCAAGTGCAAAATCATTTACCAAAGCCTACCTCATCTTGTTCCACAAAAAAACATTTATTTTCCAATCATACTTTGACATCATAATTCAAATGAAATATAAAATGATAATACATGCTTTTTAGCAAGCTTTAAAAAAAACAGGTCTGTAATTGTAGCAAAAGTTGTTCACAAACATCTTTTTTTTCTTAGCAACATATTACCATGCTAAGCTTCCTGCCAGACTGAATGCCTTTTTTGGTTTTGACAGTTGAAAAGAACAGAAAGATTAGCAGCCTATGATTTCTTGAGGCTGAGTTAGTGGTTGTTGTTTGTTGAATTTCTCCCATAGCACACTGAAATATAGGCAATTACATCACACCATGACAACTAATGTTGAAAAACAGGGGCGAAGAATCAATAAATAATACTTTATCCAAATAACAAGGACAACTTATCACTATTTTCTTTAAAAATATTAACACTTTCCTCCTAGAGTGCTAAAATTGCCATATTTTGCTAAAACAAAGTCAGAAAAGTTATAATTTTCCTATACTGAAAATCTATTCTGATAGGTACTTACTACCGTTCACATATATATAGCTATTCTCATTCCATGCTGCCCTCTATATGCAAACATTTTTTTTTGCATGTCACAAGCCTTGCACTCTCACTATCCCACGATTATCATGGTTCTACTGCATCTTGCATGCAAATCGTCATGCAATAACCCTCCACCAATAAGAGTGCAACACAACCTCCTAATGCATGTGGCTACTTCCATTTGATTCTACTGAACTATCAGTTCAAGTTCAGGCAGAAAAAGAAGCACCGGTTTTCAGTGGGGAAGGAAGGGTGGGAGGAGGTAAGTACCTATCAGAAATACATTTTCAGTATAGGAAAGTTATAACTTCTAATATTTACATTACCTCTACTCACATATATAGCTAGAATCTCACATTGAATAGATAGATGGACTGGTGTGAGGGATATATAAAGAAGCACCCTTTGAAAGCATCTGAAGAATACCCTATATTGATGATTCTCTCAATAAAGAATCATCCTTGGTAGACTGCACCACTTCTGTACCAGGTATACTCTCCGCCCAGTGCGCAAAGAGGTGTTGCAAACACAGGCAGAAAAACAGAGGAGCACAACCATATGAGATAGAAAACAGTCAGATTAATATTTGAGCCACGTAAGAACATACTCTCAATCCTGATGAAGAGAGGCTGTAAATGAATCCTCTATAGACAGTAATGTGAGGGAAAGTGAAACTGGATGTGATCCAAGGTGCAGAGTGGTTGGGCACAGTGGACCATACATGGCCAATCACCTCCAGTCCAAAACCTCTCGTCCATGGTAGGAAGAGGGTCCACACTGTCTTTACCTCAAGTTATATAGAACAGAAGCATACACTGTACAAACCAATAACTTACCCAGTCACAGTCTTACGGAAGTTTGAAGAATGGGGACAGGTGGAAGATGGTATCCAGATGAGAAAAAAAAAGCTACACAATGCAAATGGTGGGAGATGAACGTATGAGGAGTAGTTCAGATTCCTGCTTGAAGAATTTCCTCCAATGAATGACGTAGGTGAGATGCCAGGGAAATGGTAAGGTGCCTGATGTAGTGGGAAGACACCTGGAACAAATTTCGAGAAAAAGAAAACAAGGAAGAATAAGCCAATCAAATCTAAATCCAAACCCACTTGGTAAGTGCTGAAGAAGAAAGGAAACAAACAGAGGAATGTTGCCAGGGGATGAAAAGCAAGAATGAGAACCAGGGAATGAAACTGTGTGGGAAGTATAACCACAAAGAGCACATACGTGAATAAAGGAGGGAGATGTAAGGAAGCTGTCGAAGTCTTAGAAAGGAAAGATCGATCTGGATAAAGGATAACATATGTGGAATGGTACAGAGTGAGGGAGATGTTGATGTCAAATATATCAGACAGATGAGATCCACAGGTTAATAGGAGTAGGAAGTAGGACTTATGTGAAAAATGGAAACAAAGAACTGGAGTATAATAGAGTATAGCTGAGGTAAAACAAGCAGTCAAGAACCATATTGACATTCCAATCCCATAGGACCACTCAATCAGGAGATATATGAATCCGGAATGAACATAACAACAAGGAGAGAATAACAAGGAGGTAAACACAAGATGGTACCAGTAAAAACAGAAGGTGTATGATAAGGCTGCTCAATATACAATGATAGACAAGACTGAAGTCCAAGGATCAAATAGTCAAATGAAGAAATTGGTAATAAGAGGAACGAGGGGTCAAGAAGGGGGAAAACCCCCATGTAATGTTAAATGGTGGAAGAAGTTCCATGTACATTGATAAACCATCATTGAGGAAGGGCGAATGGAATGAGCTAAAAAAGAAGTGACCTGCCAAGACAATCCAAACCCCTCACCAAGGACCTGATAAATGCCAGGCATGAAGATTGAGGATAGGAAGGGCAGGATGAAATACCAATGACAGGGTTGATGGAGAAAGGATGGAGTGAGAGGAAGAGGCAATGGAAGTACAGTATGGAGATAAAATTAGTTGAGGAAACCAGGGTTGTGCCGGCCAGTAAGGAACAATCAGAAGAACCTAAAACTGAGTGGCATGGGTAGTTGAAATCATCCTGGGAGGAGAAACACAAAGGTATTAATTGGTCTAATCTTGGCTGAACTCATCGACAGCAATGGCCTGTGGATGAAAAACCACAGACCAAAAAAAGGTAACATAGCATTGAGAAATGTGGCAAATGCATCCAGATCAGGCATCCCCCTCTGTAAGCATAGACACCAGAAAACATGAGGATCGAAGGACCACTCTGTGGGATAAATTCTGTCTGGTCTAGAAAGACGATCCACCACAAAGTAGAAAGTACCCGAAACAAGATGGCTGACAGGCTCAATAGCCCTTTTTGATAGAAGAAGCTGGACTGCTTCAGACAGACATTGATTGGTAATAGGATCCAAAGGTAACAGAAAGATAATTTGTACAAGAGAAAACAGGGATAGGTAAAGTAATTGGATAATAAGGCCTTCTGACAAGGCCTGAAGAACCCAATGATCAGTAACAAATTCCTGCCATATGGGAACAGAATTGGTCAAACGAGCCCCCACTGGACCAAAACCTACAGGATAGTCACCAGTATTGCTGGCAACAATGAGACCTGCTTTGATAAAAGTGATGAATGGCAGAACCCCTAGTTGGAGGAACAAGTATATGACAGGAGGGTGTTAGATGTGGAACAGGAACAGAGGTTTGCAAGGACTCAGGTTTAGACAAACAAGCAACCAAGGATGAAAGGGTCGAATGTTGCCTCACAGATTCCACATATCATTCCAAAGTTTCATGAACATCCCCCAAAACGAACCTTTGGAGAAATGGGGCCATCCACAAGTCCCGAAGGTAAGTTTACAGTAAATGAACCTGGGAAAGACCTCCCCAGAAGGTCCCACCAGCGAAGAAACCATATGTGGAGAGACAGAGTCCAAGAAGACAATCACACTAATGTAAAGGTAATGAAGGATAAAGTATCCCCCAAAAATCCCTCATGAGAATGGTGGAGTGCCTCAGAAAGGATGTGTATCGTGGACTAAAGAAGGGTTGCAAGGGTAAGATGAAGGTGGGAAAACTAAGCCTGGTATAAATGGACAGGACTGTAAGGGTCAGTCCCCCAAATTGGCTGTAGTGATTCTAACTTTTGAGAATTAAGAAAGGGGTAATCTACCTGATAGTAAGCCAAGGCAAACTGACTTGTGGCCCGTGTGGAGGGTGAGGCATGTGAGCACCAGCTTGCAAATGTGAAACAAATTAATCAGCATGAACCCTAACATCAGGAAAAGAAAGGAAAATCAAATACTAAGAGGAAAGTGTTTCATGTAATAAGGAAGGAATAGGATTAGAGGAAACTGGGGAAATGGATAAAATAAAACATACCTGAGAAATCATGTCTAAAAAGGCTGAATTAGGCCTGGCAGATTCCACAGGAGAGGAGTGGGAAGGCATAGCATAATTGAGAGGAGGAAAAAGGCAGTCAAAATCCTCATCGTCAGCTAGTTTAGAAGGAAATCAAGCAGGGAGAAGAAGGTCGACTCAGATAATGTTCAATCTCCTGACGAATAAAGGCTAAAAACTCCTCAGTTGAGTTCCCCCACCCTGAAGCTTGGGTATTTTTGGTAAGAGCACCTCCGAAGTGGCAACATTAAATTTGGTATTCCTCATAAATTTGTGAAATACTGAAAGTTATTCATATAAAAAGAAGAATAACTAAGGTACTTTTGCAGAGAACACTATAAAACTGAAAACAATATTAAAATTTAGAAATGGTCTTTCCACTTCGTATGATATTAATAAAGAAAAAAGTGCATGAATAGAGCACAATCAAAACACATCTTGACTGTAGCATTGCCAAACGAGAAGTGATAGTTCAGTAGAATCGAATAGATGGAGCCACATGCATCAAGAGGTTGTGTCTCAATCCTATTGGTGGAGGGTTGTCACATGATGATTTGAATGCGAGACACTGTGGAACCACGATAATTGTGGGGTAGTGGGAATGCAAGGCTTGTGGCATTCAAAAATATTTTTGCATATAGAGGACAGCACTGAACGAGAATAGCTATATATGTGAGAGGAGGTAATGTAATTTTATTGTGAGCATGCTGAAACCAACTCAAAATAAAAAATCAAATGCATCTATTTTTTTAAATAAAACCAATAAAAGAATATTTTCCCTAACTTTTTAAAGTCAATTGTGCAATTTTGCCCTTGTGGTAGACACCACCCATTTTGACATGAAATTTCTAAGGCAACTTCTCAGCAAGCAAACACAATTTTGAGTTCATATATTGCCCAGACTAAGCCTTCACTACTTCAGAAAATTCAAAACTTCCTCAGATAAGTGTCCTACTCGTAAAATATATATATAGTGAAACAAATTAGATGCTATTACGTTCAATCACTTTTAATTAACTGAAAGTGTTTTTTATCAGAAATTTGGAACAAAAAAGCTGATGTAATTGAGTTATCACAAGAAATTACAAAACATTTACATTCTATTTGGATTATTAGCTTATATCTATAAAATGCACTCAACAAAACCTCTACATACTTGATGCAAAAAGTTAAAAATGGAAACTGTGTCACAAGAAATCTTTATCTATACACTGTAATTACTCTTCTAAAGAAACAGGTATATGCTTCTTTCCATAAAGAATTTATCCTTAATTTATGATCTTTGGAAAATTGGTAAACTGTGCATGTGCAATATATTTTAACTTATGGCAAGTTTTGTTGAATTCTTCTCACAATATCTTAAGTTTATGGAATTTTAGCTACAAACTTACTTGTAAGAATTATGATATCACTTTATCAGACCTAAACCTTTAACCCGATGACTACCGGTACTAACTTTCTTAGTAGGCAATGTATGTGTGCATTTGTGAATTGAAAAAATGATAGAGAACTTATCTTTTAATGGATTTCTGATTTTATTTTTATAAATAGTAGCATAACATTCAATTATTTGTACAAAATTGTATTCTTTAATGAAGTTTAAAGAGGAATTTAATGAAAAAATTCCTAAAATACGTTTTAGACTGTAAATAAGCACCCTCTAAGAAGAAATTTTTTTCAAAAATTTTTAAGATATTTCCTTTCACCTCAGCACTGGCATAGATGGCAGAAATTGGTATCTAAACCTTTTTCTAGTCTGTTTTCTTTATAAAACTGCGTCTGGGCGTGTTAAACCTCAGTTGTAAAACTTTTAGCCAATCCTATAAAATAAAATTAAAATGTTTTTTTGTACATATATAAACATGAAATCCTAGTTAAAAATAAAAATACTCATTTATTGTTGGATGCAAGAAAGAAAAGGTTTGTTATAAAGTGACTTCATACACACTGGATTAATAATAATATCACAAGTAGGGTACCTCAGAGCTGTTCTTACTTTAAACGTTAAGATCCTATTTGAAATATAAACAAAGATTGAAATAACTTCAACTGGAACCACAAAGGTCTATGAACGAGGCTTCCACTCATTTCGAACTGAGGTTCACAGCGGCTTGCTTCTCGTGCCACCTATGGACGGAAATCACGCTTTCGCCGTTATGACTTTAAAGTTCAAATAGAGAATATCACTGCTAACAACATGAACGTGGCCCATTGCTCGGTGCCGAATTGCAACAATGACTGGCGTTATAAAGAAAAACAAGTGTCAAACGACACAAAAAAAAACAACGTATCTTTCCACCAATTCCCGTGAAAGAAAGACTTGGAAGAAATGGATTATAGCTATTAAGCGAGACGAAGGCCACTATTTCAAGGTAAGGTAGTCGTATATCATGATATTCGACTCATGAGCGATAATTGGGACTTGTGGCTTCGTTGTCAATGTTTACACAGATCTAATGCAAAACAAAAGTATATATTTAGTTTGTAATTTATGTGTGTTTGAAAGTATTCATTCAATTGCATGTATAACAGACTGTTATTACTGCTAAACTTATATTAAAATAGGCCTATCCCAGTCTGTGTTAACGTTCGTAGACCAGATCTATAATAAACGATGTTTAGATCTAACTAGTAAGTATGAAAGTAGTAAGTCAAGTGACGTCTAAAATAAGAACTGTTGCGTCAGCGAGGTCACGTGACTAGTGTCACGCCACCTCTCGAACCTTCGGGAATAGTCGGGAGATTACTAGATATAGGGTAGCTGGTATATATATAAGAGGGTGACAACGTGACGGAACAATGTGTGTGTTTCAACAATTCGCGCTAAAACAAACGCTATAACAACGAACGTGCTCAATAATACTCTCTGACTGCAGATCAATTACTCACTGTCTATTAAGTGTATCGTAAAGTTATATTCGGAAAGAATAAACCAGTTTTATTAAGTAAGGACTTGTGTCGCTAAAGTTTCGTCGGAACGAAGTTACGGAAAGTTAATTAACAAACGGAGACGTAACAGTATTTATAATAGCGGAAATTACTAATTCTAGTACAAAACAGAAAGAGGATGGTTCAGTTCAGTCTTATAACGACAGAACGAATTTTGAGTTACTTATTCCGAGTGAAACAATTTTATCTGGTGTAAATGAACGAAAAAAATGATACTTGTATCAGCAGATGTTATTGCAGCTACGGATTTCTTAATTAAACTAAGGATTGTCGAAATTTGCTAGGTCCCTTTTATTGAAAAGCAGTATTTTAATTAATGTTTTATAAAGCTGTTTTTGTGCGTCTTAGTTTGATATATTCTAACATGATGAAGCCTATTTACTTAAATATGTTTTTTAATATGCTATATATTATTGATATTCACAGAAACTGATATCTGTAAAAAAATATTTCCTATATTCTCCAGAATAATTTATTTTTGTGGTTGAAAAATAAAATACATCTTCCAAAATTACAATGGACCTGTTTTTTTCTCTACTGGAGGCCTATTATGGTTTGATGGTTAGGGCCCTCGTCTCGCAATCTGATGGTCAGTGGTTCGATGCGTGGTGTTGACTTCTCTCTAGTCCATCACTGGTAAATTAGGAACGGCTAGTGTCGCTTTTTAAAGAGAATAATACATGTCAAAATTATAGATTTGTTAATGTTTTTTTTTTAATTAACCACAAAGCTACACACGGGACTATCTGTGTTCTGCTCACTACGGGTATCGAAACCCTGTTTATAGCGTTATAAGTCCGTAGACATGCCGCTGTGCCACTAGGGACCCGAAATTACAAAGAATAAAAAATAAATAAAAATTAATAATCGTGAATTCGATGACGAGGAACCCACTTTGAGACTAATAATGTCTGGAGACGGCTTGAATGGGTAATGAAGAAAAACTTTAATATAAGTTGTGTTAAACTTATATTAAAGT